GTGGGGGCCCCCCCCGGGGGGGGGGGGGGGGGGGGGGGGGTTTGCAGGGGAGGTGCAAAGCATCTTGGGATGCTGGGAGGCTGTGAGTTAACTTGAATCTGGAGGGGATTTGGGACAGAAGTTCAATAAACCATTTGAACCTAAATCAGTTAAGTCTGATACTACATCCATCCTGGTTTATCTTAAATCGGCCATTTTGAAAGCGGTTTATGTGCAATGAATTTCTGCTGTGTTATAGATTTGAACTAGTTTCGATCATTTATACTGGTTTATGTGTAATTTCTGTCCCTACCACAAGTGGAGGAGAAGTAGAAAACTAACACTTATGTAATTTTACCAAAGCCTGTAACAAAGATGCACCCTGTAGCAGAGAAGGTACCACAGTCCTCGGTTCCAATTCTGAGCTACAGTGTTACAGAGTAGAGATGCAATGGCTGGAAGAGATGGGTTGCCTTATTCTCCTGCTATCATTTGCCCTCACTGTATTTTAGTGGTGCAACAGACCAGAGCTTATAAGAGAACAATTTATGAGCAAGAAGACGCCCTGTCCACTGACCCTGGTTGAAATTCTGATTGAGTAACTGTACACATTTCATAATTACTTGCAAGTAGATAAACTTCAGCCTATCTCAGAATTAAGCTGTTCCGGCATTAAGTTTTTTTGTTATTGCTTGCTTCTTTACAATACTTTGTGGTCTGAAATCTAGACAATGCTAGGTATGGATGCACTACAAGTTGAAAAGTAATGTCGCATCATCATGTATGGCTAGGTATTTCACAGTCAGTCTGACGAAACAGTATTTCAAGGCCAACATATGTAACCATAACTGTAATGAACAGTATTATGTCAAGAGCAAAAATGCAAAGGAGGCTGAAAAAAGAAAAACAGTTATTTCATTAGTAGTTTAGTTTGGAAAAGAATTGTAACTCTTAGGACCTTCTTACACGTTACATTTAGCACGTGTTAACTGAATTTACAATGTTAGTGCCTGAGCATTCAAGCAGTGAAGCACATACTAAGTGCCATCACAAGCATACTAAAGTTAGGTCTCTTCCAGTGAGGAGCATCTCCAGATCATATTAGCTAACACACATTGAACTAATGTTGGACTGCTCCACACAGATAATACAACAAGGAGACTCATGGTGCAAACTGGAGGCTTGGGGCCTGACAAGCAGTTGTTTGCTCCAGTACATTGCAGGGGTTGAGACAGGCTCCTGGGTGGTGCTGGTGTCACTCCCAGGCCCTCCACCACACTGGAGCCTTGAATCTGCTGCACTGTGATCCCAGAGGTGAGATCAGGTAATTTTCAGTCTCAGTCCTGGGCTTACATCAAAGTTGATTTGAAACTCCAGTGCGGTACGACAATCTATATTTGGATCATAGTAAGCATCAACTTGCAACTGCTCAGAAAACTTGAAGTTGTCTTCATGCTTACTACAACCTAAATATAAAACACGCAAAACATAATATATAGCAAGGCCCTTACAAAACTTCTTAGAAGAGCTTATATAGAGGGGAAATATCTCTCTTCTTTGTGCTCTAAATAGATTCATCAGAAGCAAAAGAGAGACAAAAAGCTACTGAAGTCTTCAAAAGTTCTCTCTCACCAATATGTACTTAACTCTAACATAACCCAACCCAGAGCTCTAATTAGAATATCTGAAACCTATTTGGTGTTCATTTTCACTATTAAACCTCTATGCAAGCACACTACTCCCAGCTCCAACTTGTACAGCTTTAAAGGAGTTCACTGGGGAAAACTGAAAGCCTTATTGGTACTGACTTTAAAAAGCATTTTGGAACACAGTTCAAAACTACTGGTTCACTAACAAAAAGCCACTTGTGCTTTAAGCAAGCTAAAAAGTCACCTATGCTGTAATAGGTACAGACACATGTTCAGCTCTGTTCCAGCATACGCAGGGCTGCTATTATAGTTAATTGGAGCCAAACTGATAAGAGAAGACCAGGCCCAAAAGAATAATTTCCTTAAGCACAATATACTAACAAGGTAGAAGACATTTCTGAGCAGTACCAAAGCACTAAGGAAAGAAGATTATTGCTAAGGACAACAGTGAGTGCAAAAGTGAGACTGAGCAATAGTTCTATTTCTCTCTAAAATAGCTGTCCAAGAGTGATAAGAAAGCACCCTATGCAACCTTTCTGGGCCAGAAATTGGGTTGAAAAGGGACATCTCTGCTTTATGTTTCGAATCCTACAAAGTGCAACACTGGCCATTACTTTATCAACTCTGGAAGGCAAGCTTCTCAGGCTTTTTGGCACAGATCATGTGTAGTGCCTTTGCTTGCCTGGCAGGGGAACACTGTGACCACCAAGGCGGTTTTCTTAGTTGTGCCTGGGGATGACCGCTCTCCTGGCACAGGGGTAGTACCCACCAAAGTAACGTATAATTTGTGCGGGCCGGGCGCGAGCCAGGCCCTTTTTCGTGCTGCACGCGGGCTGTGGCCAGCAGCCCGGGCACGCGGGGTCGGAGAGAGGGGCGCGACAAGCTAGAATTAGGTACAGACTCGTAGCGGTAGTTTTAAAGATTGTTTACTTACACCAGAGATGGTCGTGGTGTAGGCTGGAAAACTTGCTTGAGTTGCGGTTACAGACAAAGACAACACAAACGGTCATGTGGAGTTTGCTAGGCTCCACGGAAACAGAGCTCCGGATGCTCTGGGTGAGCGCGCCACCAAAATTGGACTCGTAGATACGTCTTATAATTTTTATCGCTCGAAGACGGGAAGAGGTGGGCAATGGATCAAGTCGCCAAGCTCCTCTGAATCTCACACAGGGGTCTTTACTTCCCTGCCGTGTCCCTAGAGTCCCCGCAAGATGGATGTGGAGTCCTCTTCGGCTTGGGCGGAAACCGCTCAAGCCTTTTATATGGCTAACAGGCCAATCGCTAGCCGCCACGTGGGAATAATTTAGAACTAGCCAATAGCGGGACACAAATTTGCATGCGGGTGGCGGGAACTCTTTTGCATCGTGCATTTCTCTTGCAACTTGAGCAATGCACCCTGCAAAAGAAGCTGCAAATAGGCGGGAAACTCGTCCTTGCACCAGAGTTTTCCTCTGCAGTAGAAAACTCCACCGTGCAACGAAGCTGTAATTTGGCGGGGATAATTCTGGTGCCGAAGCACACACAAAATCATACCTTTGGGTTATGACATAATTAACCTCCCACTTAGCTGCTGGAGTGTGGAAATCTTGGCTTTAAGTCCACTTTATGGAAATGGAGACTCCTCCTTAGCTTGCTCCTGCAGCCATATTGCTGAGGGCAAGGAAAACTCATGGGCATCTGAACTCCAAGCCTCTGGGCTTGGACCTGCCACTGGATGCCCGCCAAAGGATTTGAGAACATCTGAAGCCCCAGATGGAAGTGGAGGATGTTTGCCAGC